GAAACCATGGATAAACAAGAGCTCTGAGCAAACAAAAGCCTTGAGGCAGCAAAAATATATACAGAGTAATGACGTAAGTGATGGAAGATGAGTAAGAAAGCATCACAATCTCAGGAGAGAGAATCAATGGCTAGGGCTGGGTCACAGGCCAATGCTGGGGCCAGATGTGCAGTCAGCTGCTCCGTTACCAGAAGTGGAAGAATGGTGGTAGACAGACACACACCACAGGTGCTCACCAGCCATGTACAGTAGGCTGCAGTCAGCACCGTGGTTGCCAGAACCACATATGAGCCGAAATTAGGAGGGTGCAAGGAGGCCAGAGAAAGCAGAGGAAACCTGTGTGCTGAGAGAAGCAGAAAAGTGTAGCAGATGCTCAGAGAGAAACAAGAGTGGCCAATGATGCAGCCACGTAAGAGTAGGAACTGCTTCTCATTTTCCTGTTTCAGTCCCATTCCAGAGGGCCTGGCTGTGCTGATTCCTGCACTTCAGCAACCCAGGAGATTGCCCTCTGAGTTGGTTCAAAATACCTCCTTTTCTCCTTGAGTTAGTATGAGCAGTTTTTTACCTATGTTCTAGGGATAAAGATGGTACATTTGGCTGGAAATTTGAAAATTCCTTGGTGTTTACTTATCTCTCAGGATTGAGCAGAGCAGATAAAGTACCAAAGGCGACCATGCAGACATTTGGTATAAAGAAGAACAAACTGGAATCACGTGAAGGCTTTTACATACCTTGTCTCATTTAACCTGTAGCATCCAGGAGGTTCCATGACTGAGGCCCACAGAGGGTAAGTACCGTTTATCCTCATTATTCGTGGATTCTGTATTTGCAAATTTGCTTACTCACTAAATTGTATTTATTACCCCTAATCAATACTCCTGGCACTTTCTTGGTCATTCACAGACATGTGCACAGCAGTGGAAAAACCGAGTTGTCCAACATGCCTGTTCTCGGCTGAGGTAAAACAAGGCAAAGCCTCTGTCTTCTTGTTTCAGCTCCTACACTGAAAACAAGTTTCCCTTTTAAAGTCTATTTAGTGTCACATTATTGTGCATTTTGTTGGTGCTTTTGCTGTTTGAGACCTCCAATCATAATGCTGAAATGCTGTCTACTGTTCCTAAGCACAAAAAGAGCTGATGTACCTCTCAGAGACAATATGCATGTTAGATAATCATCATTCAGGCATGAGTTACAGTGCTGTTGGCTGTGAGGGAGGTCAATGTTAATGAATCAACAACATATGTTAAATAAGCTGTCTCTAAACAGAAACACCCATAAAATGAAGTTATGTGTTGATTGGTTGACGGCAACGTGATGACCAAAGGTTTGTAGGAACCTAACCCTGTATTCCCCCTAGAAGCAATAGTTCAGTATTTACTAATTCATAGAGACTTTATCAAACATAACTACCATGAGATGCTGGAATCAACTGTAACACATGTAGGATCAGACAGTCTGTGGAAGAGTGGAGTGCCCAGCTCCAAAGCCACGCCTCTCACTCTGGAGAAATCGTGCTCCTTCCATCCCACCATGCCATGCTGCAAGAGGGAAAGAAAAGTTCCTCTGTTCAGCTTCCAGGGCTCTTTCTACCGCATAATGCTGCCTTCCCTAGCTCTTGTTCCTTGTTGGAAAATGAACAGGTATGGAACAACTGTGAAAGATGTAGAATGATCTACATTAGGGCTGGGGTAGTAATATATAGCACATCTGCCATCACTCATCCTTAAATACATGTGGCAGACATTGCTAATCTATCATAGCCACTTTTCCTGCTTCAGACCAGATGGGGTTTCACAATCCGTCTCAACAAACGACTCTAGGCAATCATTATCAGTCGGTCGGAGTTGGCATCTAAGATGAAATCTTTACCTTCCTTGCGTGACAATCTGCGTCCTTATAAGATGAAGCATATCAGATCAGCTGTATCTGAGCTGAAGCAACTGTATCAAAGCCTAGACCCTTAGGGCAGCTCTGAGTGTCTGGCTGACTCTGCTTTGGAAAGTCTTTCTGGATTCATTTAAATAAGACTTTTGCTCTTGAAAGATTCATTTTGATGGGAACATTTTTCTTGTTTACCTCTGAATTGCCTGTGCCTAGAACACTGTTTGGCATAGAGGTGGTGTTCAGTGATGTTTGTTGAATGAATGCCTAAGCACCTAGGTCGACACCTACCTTCCCCAGGGAGAAAATGAAACTGAACTGGAGCAGCATTCTATGGAATCTGTCTGCCTCTTTTCTTCATTTCTCTTTATGTTCTCTCCTCCCATGGCTCACCTCTTCATCTCTGGTAAGATGGATCTGGGAACCCAGAGCAAGGGAGGCATGGGGGCATGCAAGGAAGACAAGCATGAGGTATGCTGCTTGAACTAGGAGCTAGTTGAACTCTGGGACCAAACCCCATCCTTCAGCTTCTAGACCTGCTAGGCATCATTGCTGCCCATTCTCCTGTAGGGCTCAGAACTCTTACCCCTTGTATCTGCCCCCAATTTCTCTTCCTGCACCCTATCTCCTTTCCCCTTCTTTTCTCCTCCATCAGTCATGGCAAATGGAGTTTGGGAGGAAATAGGAAAGACAGGATGCGGAGTTAGACCAGGACGAGATGATGTAGTTGGGTGGGAGCCTGAGGTGCAAATGTCACTTAGTGGGCCAGTATAGCGTGGGAGTTAGGATTGAAAGAATGCTGTTAGAGTTTTGAACTATGTCAGTTATTTTATTATCACAAGTGATTTTCAGTTATAGTGTCTGCTCTGGCATTGCCAGAACCACAGGAAGCTGGGCGCCCTGATCTGCAGCTAGTTACGGAGAAGTGATGCAGCACCTAAGGCAGTGGGAAGCAGTGATAAAACACCTGAGGGCATGGGCTTTGAAGTAAGATTGAGCTGGGTTACCACTTGATAGCTCTATGCTTGGGGACAGTCTCCTTAATCATGCTACATTTTATTTATTAGTATGTACCTTATAGGTCATGATGATTAAAAGAAATGAGGCCTGTAAAGTTTCTGTGAAGTATGTTTACTCAAATGGTATCTATTGTTATCATTAAATTAACATGATTATCATGTGGCACTTACTTTTCTTTTTAGCTCTGAGGCTGAAAGCAAAATAAACTGAGTTTCTGAGACTCTACGGGGAAGACAGGTGCTCCTAGGGACATGTGAGTCTGTGTCTGAGAAGCAGTCCTGACAGCGTATCAGGAGGCCTGCAGGTTCATCAGCAGGGACTATAGTGGGGGCTTCAGAGACCATTAGTTCCCAGCATCACAGGGTGACCAACTAGGAAACGCAAGAAAGACTTACTCTGGGAAAGTTTGCCCACATTTCCTGCTGCCTTTCCTCTGCAGGTGTGGAGAGTGAGGGGTGGCCGTCTCCAACTTAACAAAGAAATGAACCAATAAGTCAGAGAGATGGCTCTTATGCTAGTGAAAGCTTTGATACTTTGGGCTTTACCTCTCTAGCTTCTGTGATATTTAGTTTCCCACAGCTGGACTCGCTGATGCACATGCCCACCACCACTATATAATGACTCAGGGTTTGCCCATCTCCCACTATATTAGTTTTCTAATGCTGCTGCAACAAATGTTCACAACCTTAGTGGCTTAAACAACACAAATTTCTTATCTTACAATTCTGCAGGTCAGAAAACCAAATGGGTCTCCCTGGACAGCAGGGCTCTGGAGGGAACGGTCTGTTTCCTTCCCTTTTCCAGATTCTGCATTTCTCAGTTCATGGCCCCTTTCCTCTTCAAAGCCAGCAATGGCGGGTTGACGCCTTGCATCGAGTCACTCCAGCCTCCACATCCATCATCACATTTCCTTCTAATTTCCCTCCCTGTTCCACATTTAAGGACCCTTGTGATTACATTGGACCCACCTGATTAATCCAGAATAATCTTTTTATTTTAAAGTCAGGTGATTAGCAACTTTATTTTCATTGGCAATCCTGGCCATAATTCCACAGTTACTCCTTGCCAAGTATCATGATACACTCAGAGGTTCCAGGGATTAGGATGTGGATGTCTTTGGGGGCCATTGTGCTGTCTTCAACAGCCATTATCCATTATGTCCTGCTGTCTGATTCTAGAATTAGGGCTGATACTAGGAAGTTCCCTCTAAGACTGAGCCTGAGCCTGAGCCATCCTCTTTGTGATGCTGTCCAAGAATCCCATGCCTGAGGAGCTGGTGTCTGGCCTGAGCGGCTCCCTCCCCCTCACTTGACCTTTACATAAAGTGACTCAGTGCCTTACACTGAGCATGAGGGTGCTCTGGCTGCTCTGTCTAAATGGGTGGGTAGGAGAAACTATTTATTTCTTCAACAATATTCAGTTTCTTTATTGTGAGAGCCAGGCTAATAGATGCAATTTTCCTTTAATGCATATTTTTTAAACATGAGAAGCCCGTCTATCCATTTTCTGGCACAGCCTTATCAGACAGTACTTTCATTAACTCTATTAATGTCTAAGGACTGTTTATACAAATTACAGTAATCATTAGCTGCCAATTCCTAAAACTACCCAGAGGTAATCCATATTTCTTTTTTAAAAGATTTTAATTAATTAATTTATTTTTAGAGAGGGGGAAGAAAGGGAGAAAGAGAGGGAAAGAAGCATCAGCTAGGGACCAAACCCACAACCAGGCATGTGCCCTGACTGGGAATCAAACTGGTTGATGTTACTTTGCAGAATGACGTGCAACCAACTGAGCCACACTAGTTGGGGTGACCTGTATTTTTAGATACATGCATAAAGGCACTCACCAACACACACAGAGGTCAGTGTGGTGGGGAAAATGTGTTAAACATCTGTTAAACGTGTGTTAGATGCCATTTTTTACCTTAAGGGGAAGGAAGAGAAGGAAGAGAGCTAACATTTATTGAGAAGCTGCTCTGCGTCAGGAACTTTATAATTGTAAATTCACTTTAATTATCATTACAGTGCAAGAAAGCAGTTTTCATCACCCCCATTTTAGAAATGGGGAAATTGAGTCTCAAAGGTTACATAGCTAGTAAGATCTCAATATTTGACACATGGCCTGTCTTTCCCCTTCACCTGGCCAGCTTTTAAAACAGAAAATGAAACAGAATAAGGATGTTCAAATTGAGTATAGTGATATGAGCCCTGGAGATTCATGGAGGTACCCAGGAACTCTTCAGTGAAGGTGCTTAGTAAAAAGCAAGCCAGTGGGCTGGGCTTTGGGCCCTTCCCATCTTCAGTCAGACCAGCACTGGGATGTGTCGTAACATTTCAATAGAAAAAATGATGGGGTATTGTTCTGTTAAACAAGTTTTTGAAGGCCATTAGACTAGAATCTCACCACAAACAAATTGGTCAATTTTTCCAATGCTTTAGTTTTTACTTAATGTGCATCAGGGGCTTTGGGAGGGATGGTGCTCTCTTAGAATGAAAGAGATCATTTTGGTTAGCAGGTGTTACAAGAATTCTTAAAATAGAGAAGAAGCAAGATTCTTCAGATACTAGTCTGCACTGGGACAGGATGTTAGCTGATGGTAGAGGGAAATCAGATTCATGTTGGAGATTCATGTTGAATCAGATTCATCTTGACAGAAATTGCTACAGAAAAGGAATCCTTCACAGTGATGGTGAATGGGATCTGAGGACATACACAGACCATTTGAGAAAACTACCTTGAAAACTCCCTTCCAAGATTCTGCCTTGTCATGTCACTGATTACTCATACTGAGTAAATAAACTCACAAAACAAGCAGAGTTCCATTAAAGTATCACATATTTAAATTTGTAAAGCAGATAATAGTTTTGAAAAATTTAAGTCAGCCCCTAAGCTACAATGTATGACTAAGTTACTATCTTAGCAATGAAAAAGGGTGAAATGAAAGCCACATCTTCTCTTCATTGGGGGATACTCTTATTCCTGATTTTGCTGTACTCCTTAGTAATTCCTCAAGGAAGAATATTAAAAATAGCCAACATTTACTGATGGGCCACTTCAATCTTTAAAATAAATAATTTATGTAACAGAGTTTCAGAATGTCCCCAAAATTCAACTTACCTGTCTTCCATTGTAACATGGTTCTCAATTTTTAGCTTTGCACAAGGCTGCCTGGAATTTCCCTGCCTCCCTTGCAGCTAGGTGTGGCCATATGACTAAGTTTTGACAATGTGATACATGCAGAAGTGTTTGTATGGCAGTTTCTGGCAATTTTCTTCTAAAGACAAATGGTACATGCCCTGTCTCTTCTTATTTCTTCCTCCATCCTGCTTGCAGGAACACAGAAGTGATGTTTGTCACTTTAGTCACATTCTTGGACCATGAAGGTGAGGGCCACGCTGGAGGGATGAAGAGCAGTGAGGTGAGCCTGAGTCTCTGAGAACACTGTGGAACAGCTCTGGGTTTTCCACCTCAGGACTTTGATGTGAGAGAAAAATAAACTGTATTGTTTAAATCACTTACACTGTGTTTCTTTTTCTCATAGCCAATGCTAATGCAAATTGATATACCCTACATATTTTTATATTATACCGATTTTGCAAATTGAGAAAACTGTGGCTTAGCCAGAGTAAATCATTTGCCAAGGTTACCTACCTAGTAGATCAAGGAGTCAGGATTTGAACCTGATTTTTGCCAAATCCCATGTGCTTTTCTCCTTCTTTCTTAGTATTCACTTTCAGACCATGAAGGTGATAATTTTTGACCTTCTGTGCCTGGCAAGAGCCTTTGACAAAGCTCCCTGGTAATGTCTGGTTATGTATATACAGTCTCCAACTTGCCCCATCCATTATCTCATTCAAAAATAAAATTCATGAGCCACAAGAGTCATGGTGAGACTCAACTGCATATCATCTTCAGAGTTCTGGGATATCACAGCAGCCACCAGAGGTCTGATTTGCATGAAGGCTTGTTGGCCTTCTAGGAGAAATGGTAAAAAGAACCATGGGAACTAATGATGGGGACCCTAGAAAAATGGTTGATACCCTTGAACAGAGAGGGGATGATGAAGTAGTCCCTAATCCTAAGAGGAGGGGAGATGTCTAGTGCTGGAAAAGCAGAGCACTAACTTGAGGTGAGGGTGGGGTGGTGGTGGGCAGTGGAACAATATAGGCATTTTTCTGTGGGCACAAGTCAGGCAGGTGAGGGAGGCTGAGGTAGGTGGTGTCGCAGAGTGAGTTCCACCCAAACCTCTTAATTAAAACAGCTTCATGGCCATCTGTTTGAATCCAAATGTACTTATTTAGAAGCCAGATTATCCAAGGTTTTTGAAAAAGCTTTCACTCTTTAGAGGGGCAATTTCATTCCATTTTGGGGTTAGAGAGGGCTGTGGCATAATTGAATAGAGCTACACTGGTAGTTGTGACTGGGGAACATGGGCAAATTGGCAGCACCAGCAGAAGTAATGGAAAGGGAGAAAGCAAACCCCTTCCTGCTGACTGCACACATCTTCGTCGAGGGGAGTATCAGCACCAGTGGCGGATACAGGGCAGGTGGCTGGTTCATCTGAAGACCTAGTAGAGACATAAGGTGGGGCAAAGCTGACAACATGTTCTTGATGAAACTTGAGGAGATATTAAAAAGGTATAATTCATAAACCAGGCATAAAAGGACAAATATCATATGATTCCATTTATATGAGGAATATAGGGTAGTCAAATTCATAGAAATGGAAAGTAAACTGTGGTTACCAGGGGCTGGTGGGAGAAGGAAATAGGGAATTGTTTAATGAGCTTTAGTTTGGCATGGTAAAAACTTCTGGAGGTGGATGGTGTTGATATTGCACTACAGTGTGAATGCACTTGATGTCTTTGCACTGTACGGTTGCAAATAGTTAATTTCACGTTATGTGTTTTACCACACACCCAAAAAATAGATTTCTGTGTGCAGAGCATACATATTTTTCTAACCTTTACCTCTCGTTGAGGAGAGGGAGCCCCACGTAACCTAGCACTGTAACTAGGAATCCTACCCTGACCTGCTCAGTTCCTGCATTTACCTGTTTCTGACATTATGCTGCTGCTTCTATTTTCGACCATACTTTGTTCCTTGGGCTGAAAGAAGATTTGGCTTCTAAGCTTTAATTGCTACTATATATTTCTGGGTCACATTTGCTCTTTCCCTATGTCTCAGTTATATCCCAGCTGCTCTGAGGAGCTCTGCATCCCTGCTCCCCAAAGTTGTTTCTACTTCCTGGGCCCCACTTTCACCTATGGTCTTGCCTGGCATGATCTGGCTTCTCAAATTAGATACTTAACCACTCAGATCCACACTGTCGTCTGGCTTCCCCAACCCCCTAAACTCTAGAACTAGAGCACTGATCATGTATGTACTTCCTGGTGACCCCTTGGGAAGTGATAAGAGCTGAGCAGAGCTCACCAGGCCAGGCTGGGGATGAGAGGACAGGACAACAGGCAGACCAGCCTCAGAGACCAGACAGACTAGTGGAGAGGCCCATGAGTGGGCAGAAGCCCATGTGGCCAGCCTAAGGGTCAGGGAGTTCTGCTAGCAGGACCCACAGGCCATTTTATGCTCTGTTTCCTTTCCTGCTGTAACCCAGGTGAAAGCTGAGGCCCTTATGACCAGTGAGAGCTCAGTGAGATTTCCCCAATTACCTGATTCCACAATGTAGTGTAACACAAAGCGTCCCACAGCTTTTGGAGAATTTTCAGAGGTTTATGCTCTACTTAACCCCTGACCAACCTAAGTTGTCCCAAGAGCTGGAAAACTCAGCTCTTTCACAAGTTACTCAGACCAAAAAATCTGTACGTATTACAAAGTGGTAGGTAATATCACCAGTGTTTTACAGGTGAGGAAGCTGAGAAACAAAAAAGTTAAATAATACTCTCAACAAATGTTTGTAATTTGTGGACTTTATTAGACTTTTTATAGGGGGGTTGCTATTTCATTGTATGGTGCCCAGTCCAGTGTCTTGTACAATTCCTCTTATCCCTCCTTTTCCCTGCCCTAACCTTATCCATCCCAAAGGGCCCTCCACATTTCATATCCATCTTCCTTTTTATGCAGAAAGGATTTCCACTCTCACATTTTTGCATTTTAGCAGTTATTAAAATATTTCTTCTCAAGCAGTTAATTTTCCCCTGATAGAAATACTAGTGTTTAATGTATACAATGTGCTATTACATTCTTTTGGTTTTAATTTTTTATATCAACCAAGCCATTTTCAAAATAAAAGCTATCCATGTCACTTAAAATAAAAGAAAAAGTTTATAGTTACCAAATCAGACAGCCCTTCCTGTTTTTAACCCACCTGGATGTCTTCTTTCTTCAGCCCCCTTGTATCGTGCAGCAGTTCCTAAATTGGGCTGTGTATTTGTCACTCCTGAGGATCTCTGCAACACATCCTGGACTCAATTGCAGAGACTCTAACTCAGCAGATGACGGTGGGGCCTGGAGCTGTGCAAAGCAACAAAATTCCTCAGTGATTGTGCAGGAGCGTTGATGGCTCTGACCTCATTTCAGGGGCTCACAGGGCTAATAATAGCAAATATATATATATTCTAAGTGCACTCACATGTGAAGTCATTTGTTCCTCACAACAATTCTGTGACAAAGGAAGGTATTATTATTACTGTTTTACAGATGAGGAAGCTGAGGCACTGAGAGATGAAGTAATGAGGGCAATGTCACACAGCTCATAGATGACAGACCCAGAATTTGAATCCAGTCAGGCTTCAGAGTACACATTCTTTTTCTTAGATTTTTATTTATTTTTAGAGAGAGGGGAAGGGAAGGAGAAAGAGAGGGAGAGAAACATCAGTGTGTGGTTGCTTCCCATGCACCCCCTACTGGGGACCTGGCCCGTAGCCCAGGCATGTGCCCTGACTGGGATTGAACAGGCCTGTGCTCAATCCACTGAGCTACACCAGCCAGGGCCAGAGCACACATTCTTATTAACTGCGCTAAGGACAATAAGCCCAGAGTAGTGGGGAAAATCCTTATCACCTGGAGATTTTTTTTCCCCAAATACCTATGCCTATCCTCCAGTTCCAAATGTTTGCTTGTTTGTTCTTTTATTTTGAAAGAGCTTCTCAGATGACTTGGACATTGGCCTCATATTGAGAACCACAAATTAGATAATTTCAACAACCTCCCAACCTGGCATTCTGGTTGAGTTCAACCTACTGTTGTCCTGCCAGCCCTGGTCAGAACTGCTTCACACAACAGACTAGTGCATGGCCTGAGAGTAGAGGTATCATCACCAGTACAGCTGAATCCAAAAAAAAAAAGGCATCAGTATCAATATCTTGGAGGAGCTGTGGTGAGCAGGGACAGACAGATTTCTTAATGACTACATAATATTTGATGTGGTTTTTTTTCTCACGTCCATCTGATTTGATCCAATAGCCAAGGAGAAGACCAGCTACTTAGCTGGGGATGGCACAGGGCAGCAGTTTGCTCCTCATTAGCCTGAAAGCGTATAAAACAAGAAAGCAAGAGAGAAGGAGGGCGAAGAAAGTATTCTTGGCATAGGTCCAGAGGAAAAGCAGTCTGGCTGAAACCTTTCAGTTCCCTTAGCCAGGAAGCAGCAATCTACGTAAACAGGAAGTTGAGAAGGTTGGGGGAGAGGGCAGTGGTTAGTTAGTGAGAACAAGAGCTGACGCCAGATCTGTGTAAGTGGTTACATGCAAAAAAGACTCTTATACAGGCCCAGATTTTGCATGTTAACCATCCCTGCTCTCTCCTGGGAAGTGTTGTTTCATCAGAGCATCTGTGCGGTGTATGCTGGGGCCTGTTCTTACCTGAATACATATTTGAGCACCTGCTTTTTTCCCTTTTTGCCAGTTGTCTGCTGGGTAACTTTATCTTATCTCACTTAAGAGTCTAAACACTTTGTGAAGATGGCATTATTACTTCCATGTTTTTAGGTAAGAAAACTGGCTCAGAGAGACTAAGTTACCTTGCCCAAATTCATTTACATTATACAATTATACAGCACTTTTGAAAATTGTTTCCTCTCGGAAAAGTGACTATTAAGCATAACCTATTAGAAAGAGGGTATAGAAGTTTTCTAAGGATACCATAAAATTTCACTACAAATCTGCTGTCTTAAAACAATAAATCTATTTTCTCATCATTTTGTAGGCCAAAAGTCTGAAATCAAGGTGTCTGCAGGACCACGCTCCTTCTGAAGGCTCTAGGGGAGAACCCTTCTTTAACTGCCCCAGTTTCTGGTCACTCCAGACATTCTTTGCCTTGTGGCTGCATAACTCCAATCTCTTCCTCTGTCTTCACATGCTCCTACCTCCATGTTCCTATCTTATTTTCACTCTCTTATAAGGACCCTCTTCGCTGGATTTACAGCCCACCTGGATAATGCAAGATGATCTCATCTAAAGATGCTTAACTTAATTACAGCTTCAAAGACACCCCCCATTTTTCCAAATAAGGTAACATTCACAGGGACAAGGTATGAGGACATGGACATATCTTTTGGGGAGCCACCATTCAACCCCAAATAGAATATCATTATCAAACTATAAATGCGGATTTTATAGTATTTTAATAACCATGGATTTGAGAGGGATATTATCTTGATTAATGCTCCCATGGCCAAATCCCCATTCTTTAAAAGAATAAACTTCCCCAAATGCTGCTATCCCACCACTCCTACCTATTCTCCCAAACCTGAGGTCTATTAGAATTTCAGGGCAAGAGGGAAGTGTATCACAAAGGCATGGTATTTTGAAAATGTACTCCAAGTGAAGATGATATACCCCCTTCCCAAAACGCACATGACCACACATGGTTGAAGATTACTTCTCTTAGGAAATGCTGTAACTCAGGCTGATGGGTAAGGGGGAGCCTCAGGGTATATTGGTTGTATGTTGAAAAAAGAAAGAGAAAAATCTAACACTAGTGATCATGGAAATTCAAAGTTGCATCAGTCTGAAGATCATCAAGTCCAAAAATCATGTTTGGAAGGAAGGACACAATTACTGCCCAAGAGTGACACTGTTGCCCATGTGACATGGCTGAAATACAAATGTAGTCAAGTCACTCTCTGCTTGAGGTTTTTCACTGGCTCCCTTTGAGTACCAGGTGAATTTCAGATTCCTTAACAGAGCCCACAAAGACTCTGTAAACTGGCCTATACCCACTTTTTTAGACTCATCTTTCACCACTGTCTCTCAAAGACTGTCTCCTCTGGCCACACCAAAACTGTTGCTGTTTCCCAAACAAGTCATGTGCTTTATTGCTTTTCTAGACTTGAACGTTCTGTTTCATCTGCTTGCAATGCTCTTCTTTCTTCTCTGCCTGGAAATTCCTACTGACACCTCAAGAGTAATTTCCCTGCTCTTCGTTAACAAGACTTCCCTACTTTTTTTCATGACTGGCACCTTACCCTGTTGTGATTTCAAGTCAATTTATTCATGGGAATTGTTGACCTCTGTTACGTCCAATCTTTCTCCAATGCTTTGAGAGCTTTCAGAAAGAACTGCCATATTCATCCGCAAGTTCCCAGTGTCTAGTTGGTGCTCAATAAATGTTTGCTGAAAAGTGAAGGAACACAGTCATCAATGGCTTCAAGTTTGAAATTCTTGGTTTCGTGACAGTAACATCCAGGCTTTCATTCTTTGTAAATGTGTCATGCTAAAGCCACAGACAGAGAAGACGTAGTTCAAGATGTAAGTCTAGAAGAGGCACAAGAAGGAATTGTAGGAAATTGAGTTACTTAGTTTGGGGGTATAATGGGGCTGGTTTAAGATAGGTTGGGAGTCCTCAGTCCATTTTCCCACCTTCAGCATGAAGAGTACTGAAGTGCAATTAAGTTATGGTTTCCCATCAATACTAGTGACAACACATCAGAAGTGTTATGGATGATAAATGAGCTACAAGTAAGTGTCAGTACTGATAACAAGGAGCTACGTGATTATGGGGAGAACTGGGGAACAGAAGACAAAAGGAAACAATTTATGAGAGACGCTTTAGGAACTTACTGAACAAGATAAGAGGGATTTGATGTTGGACCCCATGACTTGTGTACATATGTTGGTTTAGAGTCTATTATATTTTTAGTACCTGGTATTTTTACCTGATTCTGAGGAAAGTGGATCATGTTGCTCACCTCTGGCATTTGTTCAGGGCATCTGATCCATAGACTGGCAACAGTAAATGAATGAGGACTCTTCTTCAAATAATGTTAGTAACATCTGAATCAGTTGGAACAAACAACACTGTGTAATCCAAGACCTAAAGCCAGAGTGCACACCAATTGGATACCTTATTTAATGTCTACGTGCCTCAATTTCCTCTTTAGTAAAATGCATGTGATTCTAATAATACATACCTCATAAGATTACATTAAAAATACAATGGATTACTTAACACTTAATAAGAGTGATCAATAAGCATTATCTATTATTATAATTTTAAGAGGCAAATACAAAAAAATTTAATTATGTGAGGTGGTGGATATGTTAACTAACCTTATTGGAGGAACATTTTGCATTATATAAGTATATCAAGTTATATACCTTAAACTTAGGCAGTATTATATGTCAATTAATTCTCAAGCAAGCTGGAAGGGAAAGATACTCAAAGTACCTTCTTCTAAACTGAAATAATAATAGTTATCTTTTTCTAGCATGTTAGGACCTGTATTAGTCAAGACTTAAAATTGCAAATGACAGAAACACAGCTCAAACTAACTCAAGTGAAAAGAGAATTTTCTTGGCTTGTCTATTTGAAAAGCCCAAGGTAATGTTTATCAGCTTCAATATAGCTGGTTTCAGGGGCAAACAGTGACACTTCTGGAGTTGGCTTCTTTTTATCTCTCAGCTCTGCTTTCTTCTATGTTAATTTTATTTTCAGACAGGTTCCTCTTGGAGAAGCAATATGGCTATTGACAATGTCAGACTTGGGTCCCCACAACTTAACCATAGTGGAAAACATCCAGCAAAAATTCTGACACCAATTCTCATTGGTCTAGAGTACATCCAGTGCTCATTCCTGACCCAACCACTGTTCTGTTTGGCTTGGCCTGGATCATATGCTTATCACTGAGTGAGTAGTAGGGCCTTTCCACAAAGACAAATGGAGGTGTGATGACCAGAAGAAATGCAAATGGAGGCAGCAAAAGACAGATTCAGGTCTTGTGGGGTCTGAAGCTTTATAATTTTGCACTTCTCCTTAATAAAAATAATACAAAATTACAAATTTAAAAATAAGCATTATAGTGAATTTTATTAAAAATGAAAAAATAAATCACAACAAATTATTGGAATCTTGGCACTTCTGTTCTTTCCTTCCAATGTCTGTTTAGGCAATCTACCAGAAATGCTTAGGTTAAGTGCTTCTTGATTGTAATGTGGCTCCCCATCTAGAACAGTCCATGACTTCCAGGATCTCCCAGCCCTTACAGGGACCCATGCAAGTGAAGGACTCTGAAGCTTAAAACTTTGTTAGCTTCACAATAAATCCACCTTTAGACACAGGGCAGCAAAAACAACAGATGTCTATTTCTTAATAGCAATTTTTTTGTTTGTTTTAAAGAATGGTGATCTGGACTACCATCCAAATAACTCTGCTCAGGCCACCACGTCTGGGGAACCTTGAGTCTTGGCAGAACAAGTGATCATCATTTTGTACTTTGTGGCACTGGCCAAACCCAGCTGGATTTTTTGCTACACTGATTTTAACAGCTCTGCACTCACGTAATTCAGTGCTTTAAAAGGCCATGTTTTATTTGGCACTGATGCTTTCAACAAATTTACAGGGGCCGTTGGCTCGAGGAGTTAAAAGCTGAACCTGTTCTGCCACAGCTCCTGGCTATGTCCTAATTTCCTCCTTCTTTTTCTTCTCATCTACTTCTTCTTTCGACTCTTACCTCTCTTCTTCCTTCTTCTCTTCCTCTGCTTTTCTTCTTCCTTCTCCTCTTCCTCCCTGATTGTTTTGACGGATCGTTTAGTTCAGACAGTACATCACACATGAGGCCTAAATTATGAGCAAATTCCACTGACGTCAGGCTGTTTGTACATCCAGTGAACTTGGCTTGGTTTTTGGCATTTAAGCTGTGTCCAGTGGAGACAAGTGCCTTCAGGGCAACAGAGGCATTCCAGATGGTGGTGTTCAGATAGGCTCCCCAGCACGCTGCCTCCCATCTGGGCCACCACTCTGAATGCCATAGGCCACTCTTGGCACATCCCCATAGCTGCTGTTGACTCTTGGAAGGAGCGCAGCAAACATACTGTGACTTATCAGGGAAAACCTGCAGATGATTAACTCTGAGCCCATTATATGATGCATTTCCATCCAAGTGGACTCCGGGCTGGGGGTAAAAGCAGGGTAGGCGAGAGAGTAGGCACAGTGAAACACCAGGAGTTTAGTAACCATTGTAAATGCTTTTCCCAGCAAAAGAGACTTATCAGTAGGAGAAATAAAACATTTAGAGATGGACAAACTTGGGTTCAGGGCCTTGCTCTGTCACTCATTACCTATGTGAACTTGAAAGACTGTGGTAGATAGGTCATGTGTTCTTCCCCACACTGCTACTTCTGGAAAAAGCAGCTACTTTTTGCGGGGGGCACTCCTTTCCTACTCCATGAGGCCTCAGGGCTCTCTGTTCTCCTACCCCCAGCCCTCCTCGGTGATAGTACCCACCGGGGCCAAGTACAGTGTCACAGTAAGCCCATGATGTATGCCAGCATGCTAGAACTTCCTTGGAGGTTTCAAATTTTTAAGTTGGATCAAAGCTGTATATGAATGTTAACATACCTCACAACTCCAAAATGAGGGAGACAGTAAGACAGCTGTCACTCTAGCTGGGAGAAATGGAGACAGCTAAAGTTAAAGAGCAATGCCTCTACTTCCCTGAAACACTGCCACAGCTACCTAGATTTATGGAGGCAATGTGGGATTACACACATGTGAATTTTGCTGGTGGTTGAAGGTTATTCTTTCTTTCAAGGATGAAAGGACCTCTTTTTTTCTTTTTAACCATATAATCCACAGACTTTTCTAAAATGTTTTATACACTTCCCTTAATTTATAAAAGATAACCACACTTAACCTCTCCTGGGTGGTTCAGAGTCATCAAAATGAAGTTAGTAGGCAGTGTGATAACATAATTTGAGGTTTTTTTTTTTAAGTTTGTCCTACCCTACATTTCCTAGCTCCTTCCTGCTCACCCAAGCACCAGAGGGTGAACTCCCTACAAGAATGAGCTTCATTCATAGCCAAAGCTCTGGTTCTCTTCCTGTCTTACATCTCCCTTCCTGATGTGTTCTTGCATTCCTCTGGCTCTTGAACTTCTGTTTGCTTCCTGCTTTTAGTCCAGCAGTTTCCCCTTAGATCTCACCTGTGATACAGCTGCTCTGTAACTGACCTTTGGTCCTTTTCCTCATATGCCATTCTGCCTTTGCCCTTGGGCCCCATTCTGCCTCCAGCTGGCATTTGTGCTGAGCCAGGCTAGGGTCCCATGACAAGGGGTCAGATGTTAGTGTTCCTGTTGCCTTTCACGTGGTTAAATGGACTGGGATCATTTACTTCAGAGACAAAGAACCTTATACACCACCATAACCCTTAGAGTAAGGCTTAAAATATCCAGTGTAGAAGAAGGGTTACAGCAGATACGCTGACTAGTGCTGCAGTAGGCACATTGTAATAGGGCAGTATTGATATCAGTTCTCTGAGGAGTGTCAGTTACCATTTTTAATGGTTAATTGGGTTACAGATGCTTTGTCAGAATTGTTCAGTTTGCAAGCCTGACAGCTAGGCTCAGTTGCTGGTCTCTATACTGCCCAGGCCTCGCTTTCTCTTGCTCTCTCTGCGGACCCATGAACCCAAGCCTCCCTAGGTATTACATTTTCTTTTTGCTTCAGCAGACCCAGCTCTTCATCTCCATAACAATAACAAAGATGAGTTAGTAAAACATGAAAATGTATGTATATACATGCTAAAATTGTTTTACCCTTTGGTTTTTTAAAGGGTTAAAGGCAGTGACACACTAAAAGTATTCTGAAAGAATAGATGCTCTTAGGTAACACGATGAGAAACATTGCAAAGGACAGATCATGCGAAATTAAATGCTTAAACTAAGTATAAATGTCTCAGTCCCATTTTAAGAACTTCGGAGAACCCTGACCGATACCATGTTCTTAATAACACACTGAGAAGCAGCTCCTTGCCTCCTCTGCGTGGAACTGGCCCATCTGCCAGTCCAGCCACAAAACACATGAGAGCCCAGCCTGGAAGCCCCACCTTTGACAGGCACACAGAACCTCCCTCTCTTCCCACCCCTCCTGCTCAGTTCTGCTACATTTGGGTTCTGTGATCTGCTGGCATACTTTAGTGGTCCTCAAACCTGGCCCCACATCAGAATCACCCAGAGAGAAATTTTAAAATTCTGATGTCCGGACCCAAATACAATAGATTAAATAAAAATCCTGGTTAGGGGCTCAAGAATGAAATTCCCTCCTAACATTTTATTGAGAAAAACTTCAAACATTCAGTTTAAAAACATTTATAGGACACATATATCCACCACCTAGATCTTTCCGTTAGGATTTTATTATATATGCCTATTCATCCCTAAATGTTTTAGCAGTCCTCTGATAATCCATTAATTCACTTCATGTTTATTTATTTATTTATTTATTTATTTATTTATTTATTTAATTTTAAAGGGGAAGGGAGGGAGTAAGAGAGGAAAAGTAACATCAATGTGTGGTTGCCTCTTGCACGCCCCTTACTGGGGGCCTGGCCCACAACCCAGGCATGTACCCTGACTGGGAATCGAACATGCAACCCTTTGGTTCACAGGCTGGTGTTCAATCCACTGAGCCACACAAGCCAGGACAATCCATTTCATTTTCGATACAATTTAAAGTAAATTAATGGACATAGCCTATGGAGAAGGAGAATGGAGAGTTATTGCTGATTGACTGCACAGTTTTTGTTTGGGGTGGTGAAAAAGGTTCAGAAATAGTTGCAATGGTTGCACAATATTATGAATGTAATTAATGCCACTAAATTGTGCAGTTAAAATGATTATAAAGGTTGCCCTGGCCAGTGTGGCTCATTTGGTTGGAGTGTTGTCTCATACAGCAAACTTTTGGGGGTTTGATTCCTGTTCAGGGCACATACCCAGGTTGTGGGTTCCATCCCCAGTCAGGGCACGTATAGGAGGAAACTGATCAATATTTCTCTTTCACATCAATGTTTTTTTTCTCTCTTTCCCTTCCCTTCCTCTCTCTCTAAAAATCAATAAATGTATTTAAATTTTTAAAAATTATATAGGTAAATTTTATCATACAGACATATATGTATGCATATAGTATACAAGTATATATCTATATTTTTAAACCATATTAAAAAATAAATTGCAAATAATGATATATTATTTTCTGAATTTGGATAGTGTATATGTGTTTCTTTTTCATTATTCTTTATACTGTACACATATAGTATAGATACTGCTAAGTAGAAAGACTTTAAAAAAATGAGTAGAATTATTTACCTGCAGGAAAATACTCTAGTGGTTCCTTCTGTTAGGAATACCTACTCTTTTTTCTTCGTCTACAGAAATTCTACATTTCTTAAGGAATCAGTATGACTTTCTCCCTTCTGAGGAGTCTCTCTCTTGCTACTGCAGCCACTATTAACTTCCCCTTCTTTTGAATTTGCTTAATATCTTTGCCATTCTTTCTAGCCCCAAATTAAATACTGTTTCATTTCACAGCTTGCTTGCAGTGGTCTCAGGCCCATTCCTATCCTTCCCAGGCTCTGGTCTCACAGGCTCTCTTGTTCTTTGGCTCTTGATACAGTAAAGTAATGGGAAGCGCCATCAAAGACAGAAAACAGGAAGGGAGAAGCCAGGGTATTTCTCACTCTCTCTTTCCCTGCTCCCTGTGGAATCTGGCAGGGGCCCACTGGACAGCCTCTCCCGTCCTGGCCCCAGGTCTCCCTTGGGCAAATCCCCCAGTGGTTCTAGCTTCCTCTGCCTGTCAGTTCAGGCTTCTGAGCCCTGGTAGCACCATCTTCTCCTGTATCAACATGCAACAAGGGGAGTGACTTCTCAGTTTTGCTAAATTTCTGGGTTGCTGCATCATTCCCTATTTAGCCTCCTCACTCTTCCATTCATCTATGTAACTAATCCTCAGTAAAAAAAAATTCCTTCCTCTGAAAGACCTGTTTATTTTCTGGCTAGATCCCAACTGATACAATGTATAGTGAAAAGAGCACAGGCTGGGAAGCTGGAAGGAATTACTTTTGAATCCTGTTGCTTACTCTATGAACTTGGACAGGCAACTTGACTTCATTCTGTAATCTAGGGGCTATAACACCTACCTCACAGGGTTGCTATGAGTTTTAAATGGCAAACTCTATGGATAGTGCCTACAACATAGTTAGGACTCAATCAATGTCCTTGATCATACTCTTGACAGCATGGTCATATTATTATTCTCTTTGTGTCCTAGTGCCTTTTATAAAGGTTTTTGTCACATTTCTGCCTCTTAAATTTTACGTCATCAGCAACTTATTTAGCACCTGCTATTTACTAGTAATTATGATGGCATTAATTCTAGAAAACACAACACACACAAAAAATCCCTGTTTTCAATGTGCTTACAGTTTAATGGGAATGAGAGACGTGACACAACCCAGTTTACAGAAAAGCAGTCTAACACACAGCAAACTGGGGCGCAGGTGACACCGATGGGTACATGGCTGAAGGGATGAGGGACAGACTGTCTAGGAATATCAGGCACAGCCTCTGAGGAGTAAGGACTTTGCTGGCTCTGAAGGAAGTGAAGACTTACAACAAGCAAAGCATGTTTATTGTTTGTCCCTTCCTTTCTCCATTAGAATGTAGGTTTCATGAGACCTGGGATCTTGACATATAGTAGGTGTTCAATAAATATACGTTAAATGAATGGAAAAGCTGTGCTAAAGGCTTCACATGGATTATCTCACCTTCTGCTCACAGCAATCCCCATTCAACAGCACCATTAGACTCCCCTTTTCACAAATGACAAAACAGAAAGAGCTAGAAAGTGGTAGAACCCAGATGTTAACACAGGTGGTTTGATTCCAGAACTCATTCTGAGTTAGTTTATTTACCTGCAGGACTTCTTGGAGCCTCCGAATCTGCCATCTACAAGAGAAGGGAAGCATATACAACATTTTCCAAACTTACTTGACCACAGAAT